GTTCTGGGGAGATGCCAGCCCAGCATTGGGCTGCGAGAGAAGATTTTAAAGGTGCCATTATTTGTTGAGGGTCTGTTTTGTTTTTGGTCGCCTTATTTTACAACCATGAAAGCAGCCATGACCACTGAAGAAAATCCTGAAAATAGAGAAAAGTATAATGGCCCGGAGGAAAACAAAGCAAAACAAAGCAAAACAAAACCGTCCCAGAAAGTACTGATTTTAGCATTTTAGAGTATTTCTTTTCTCTCCATTTTTGGTTCCTTTCTTGTTAAGACTATAATTCTGATTCTGGTATTGTTTCTTTTGGTTGTTTTTTTTTCCAATTTAACAGTACGGCAGATGTTTCCCCGTGTTATTTTAAACTCTTGATGAGCATTATTAATGATGGAGACTTTAGCGTCAGAGGACAGATCCTTGAACATGCCACGCTGCTCTTCATGATGTCCTTCAGGTGGGGCACGCTGGAGCCCTCTGGCATTTCGCTATTAAAAAATAACATGGTGATAAACCTCTTTGGGCAGAAAACCACACGTCAGCCCATTTCCTGGAGCAGAGATTCCTGGAGGAAATTACAGAGTGGAAGCCAGAACTGTTTGAGGCCTTCGATGCCCCACATGAATGTCCTTTTGTTCTGGACAGAAGGCTGTGGTCTTGCACAGCAGACAAGAGCAAGGCCTCCTCTGCGGGGGAGGGGGGGCTCTCGTGATGCCCCTGAAGTGAGGTCAGAATCCAAGGGAAGGCTCGGGAAGGCTCCAGGTGGGGCCAGGCTCAAGCTCTTTTTCTCGAAGCAGCTCTGGGAGTCATGGTGGTCTAGGTTAAGTTCCGCCCGAAGCTGGGACGACTGGTAGTGGTTGGAAGGCAGAAGCATCAGGACACGGAAGGTTCTGTGATGCTGGCATAGGCTTGCTGTAGGAGCTCCCCGTAGACTATGCACGAAAAGGCATGCACCCCCAAGCCGCGGGCTCCTTCTGGGCCCTACTCTTCACTCTTTGTCACTGGTCTCTGCACCTCTGACCGATCACACATTTGCTTCTTTGTTGAGTCTCTGGAACACCTCGGATCTAAGCTGCTTCATCCATTTGGCTCCCTGCTGCCCTCCTACCACCCGGTGCGTTACCTGGTGCATAGCATGTGTGCAGTCTGTATGTATGGAATGAATGAATGGTGAGTGGGAGCGAATGTAAAGACCGTCTGGCAGGTCCCAAAGCATAAGTGTTGGAAGTAACAATCCTTGCCTGCATTCCTTTCTCGAGTTCTTCGTCTGGGCCTGGCATCCAGTCCCGGACACCTCCTGGGCCATCCTACAAGGGATGCCGGATGTTATCAGCCTGTTTCCTGACTCCTGCCGCCTTAACATTATAACAGAAACATTTTCCTCATTTAAAAAAAAAAAATTCTATGAACCACGATTTTTCTTCCTCTCACACATAGAAGAACATTCTAGAATGCACTTCACACTCTCCTTCATACTTTGGAAGGCTCTGGTGTTCACCTTAGAGTAGGATTGCTGGGGCATAGAACCTACCTATATGTCACTTGCCCCAATACCGCCGGTGGTTCCTTGTACGGTTGACAAGTCTACCTTCCCATTAGCACGGCAAGAGGTTCTGTGTCTACACGTACCCCGGACACTTGGCATCACAGCGCCTGCTAATTTGTGCCAGGCTCATCGGTGTCAAGTGGTGCCTCCTCCTGTCTGCATGTGCGTTTCTTGGATTGTTAAGGAGGCCCCGGAGTTCTGTGCCTGCCCTGCTCTCAGCCCGGCCGCGCCTCCATCCCAAGCTCACTCGCTCTTCTGTTTGTCCTTCAAGGGAAGTGTAGACATTCGCCCCTTCAGCAGGCTCTGGTCCCAGACCTCTCCTTTCTGCTCCCCACACTGCCCTTCCAGAAGAGCAGGATAAAGTCATGTGTACAAATCCAGTTGTGGAATCTCACATCACTGGGATCAAAGTCTGCTCCAGCACCCTACGGGCTCTGCAACCTCCACCAAGGGCCTTAACCTCTCTGAGCCTTAGAGTCCTCCCTTGCAAACCAAGTATGAAAAATAGCACCTCCTGGGAGAGTTTTCTTGAGAATTAGGGGAGATTATTTATGGGCAGTGTTTGGCCTCTCATATGGCTGAGTGCCTGGTAGCTGTGGGGTCCCGGAGCCCTTGTAATCCTGCATTGTCATTACCTGTTTACTTTCCTGGCCTCTGCAGCTTGGGAGGATTTCGGGGCGGGGGCGGGGGGGGGGTGCTCCTTTTGCCGCATCTTAAATTTTTCAGCTGCCAGCGTGCTGGTCCAACAGCAAGACAGTAATGATGGGTTGGTCTAGATGCCATTTTAAAGTCCCTTCCAACCCTGAAATTCTATGATCAGGAAATGGAAAAAGCCCTCCTTCCTAAGGTCTCTCAATGGGGCTTGATTACACGCTGCAGGTCATTATAGAGGCCGCAGCGGCAGCCAGAGCTCTGCGTGGCCCGATGGCTGCTTGGTACGCTCAGGGCCTATCCTCTTTCTGCTGACCAGGGGATGGGAATCCTGGCAGAGGCAGGGCCTCAGCCTTCAGACCCACAAGAGACAGCCCTCCGCCCCCTACCCCAAGGGAAGGCAGGGCGGCCTCTGGTGGCGTGTGAATGTCAGGAACGTCATGGAAAGCGAGAGCAGAGGGGGCCTTTAGAATATCCAGCCCGGGGTCACAGTCCCCTGGGTCCGCAGGGGCCATGTGGAGAGTACAGACAGGTAAAAAGGCCTGGGTCAGCAGTAGGGAGTAGTGGGGTCTGTGACAGACCGGCAGACCCACCAAAGGAGATGGCTGTTGCTTAGCCCCGGGGGAATGTGAGCACCGGGCTCCTGCATCTTCTCTTCCTTTAGCAAAGAAAGCCAGAGGTCCAGATTTTTATGTGAAGTTTTCTGATTTTTAAAAGTGTTAGCAGGATGCCTGAGTGGCTCAGTGGGTTAAGCGTCTGCCTTCGGCTCAGGTCATGATCCCAGGGTCTGGGGATCAAGTCCCGCATCGGGCTCCCTGCTCAGTGGGGAGCCTGCTTCTCCCTCTGCCTGCCACTCCCCCTGCTTGTACTCTCTCTCTCTGACAAATAAATAAGTAAAATCTTAAAAAAAAAATAAGTGTTTGCTAATTCAGAGTTTTGTCAGTTGCTGTATGGCCCAGACAAAACAGGCCCATGAGACAGCAGTTTCAACACCCTCTGATTTAACATCAGATTTGACAGAGTGGGAAACCGAGGCTCAGAATTTGGGAACTTGCCAAAGTCCCCCAGGGGGTGGTGACCCAAGGGATATAAAACACAGTCCTTTGTGGCTTAGTGTAGGCGCATTTTCCACCACCCTGAGGGGCCCCTCGGTGCTACCTGTCTCTGAGGCAGGAACTGAAGCCCAGAGAGGGATAGGGCCTTTCTCTAAGTCACACAGCTTTGCAATGGCAGAGTCCGGAGGAGGGCTGGGGCTTCTGAGCCCTCCTGCATGGGACTATCCAGCCACCGTGCTGCCAGAAACAACCCTGGAATGGTTCCAGCAAAAGCCTGGCCAGGAGCTTGGCACAGGGCACATTCTGAGTGGCAGCCAGTCAACAGGAAGTGGCTGGCCCACCCGTGGGCATTAATGGCGAGGCCCTGCTGCGGCCTGGAGAGCAGTTTGTGGGCAGTCTGTAGGCTCATGGAGCTACTGATCTCAGCCTGACGGTGCAGAGAACACCTTTGGCCTCTTTCTGAAGCGTCCCACCAACTGCGTGCCTGGAGTCTGATTGAAGGACGTGTCCTTACCCTTGAACCGGCATTCTTAAAGAGTCTGCCTGTGTGGGAGTGGGGCATGTTTATTCTCCTTGGTGGCCAGCCTCATGGCCTAGGAAAATGAACCTGGGCTTGGAATTATGAGAGTTGTGAGCAGTTCCAGTTCATGATGTCCTAGCCGTGACACTGGCTGGCCATTAGAGTAATTGTTGCCCTGCTGACCTCACAAAGCTATTTATTGTGAGAGTGTAGTCTGGCAGTTGGATCCAGATTGCCAAAGAAAATGCTAGAGAAATGGAAATTATTTTTGGCCTTAAATTCCTCTTGAACTGGAGCAGGAATGATAGGGAGGAGTCAGAACATTCAGCAGGTGCAAAGGCCCTGAGGCAAGAATGAGCTTGGAGAATTCAAGAACAGATATGGAGTTTGTAGGATCGGAACAGAGACGACAAGGGAGAATGTGGGCGGCAAAGCAGGAAGAGGTGGCCCATGGACAGCCAGGAGCAGGGTGCGGTTTCTGGAGGGAGGGCCTGGTGGCTGGTGGCATCTCATGGGAAGGTGCTGCCCCCCAAGATGGTGGGGAGGAGCTCACCCCTCTGAGGCACACCTTTCTGCTGGGGCCTGCCGGGCAGGAGAACAGAGAGGTCCAGAAAATGGAGAAGACAGTAGGGTGGGGGAGGGGGATCACCCCGAAAGACATTGAGGAAAAGGGGGTGGATCATCTGGGGTGTGAAGCATGAGTAGGGTTTAGCTGGGTGGTGAGAGGTAGATAGATTTCCCAGGTAGGGCTTGGGATTAGCTACGGAGCCGGCATGGAAATGAGCAGGCTTGCTTCCCCCTCTCTGGGAAAGCTGTCGTGAGATTCAGGAGTGAGGACAACGCCTGGAGAGCCCTGGACTGGAAAGGCTAGGAACCCGGAGGACCTCGGGGGTCTTAACAGGCACACCCATGTCATATCTGGACTCCACGTGTCCACCTGTGCCCCGAGAATGCACGAACCCCCCATTCCTTCCAGCCTCACTTATTTGCTCGGAAGTCACAGCCCCAGGAGGCTATCTCACTGCCTGAGAATGCAGAAGTCTGAGGAGCCTCCTGGGACCCCTCCACTCCTGCCGTGGAGAGGCAGCCTGTGTAGTGACCATCCCACAGAGCAGGCATGCAGGGGAGAGAAGGGGCTCACCCGAAGGAGCCTGGGCACTTGCTAGAAGGAAGAAGGGCAGCCACAGGTGGCCCCTTCTTTCCTGACCCCAGGCCATTTGCTTCCCTTCCACAGTATGGAAGGCGCGTCCGCTCTGTGCGCCATGCTGGCAACACGAGAGAGAGCTGGTGTAGGTGGCTCTGGGGCACTCTGAGCTTCCCGGTGACCCTGAAACCACAGCAAAACACACCCGTTCCCCGTTGCCTGGGAGCATGCTGTACCCAACGGGAGATGGGCAGAAGAAGGATGAACTAGGGGTTGGCCAGTCCTGTGGATCATTCTTGAATCCTTGAGATTCCCGTAGGTAAGAAATGACATCTCCTTGTTGTGTGTATCACTTCGATTATTAGTGACCTGGAGCCACTCTTTATAGCTAATGGGTCACTTGCGTTTCTTCTCCGTTGATCTGCCTTTTTTGTCCTTTCCCCATTTTTAGAAATTGTGTGCGTATCCTTATTTTGTAAGTGCTCTTTATGTATTATGAATATTAGCCAGGTGCCTGGCAGGCTGCAAATATGCTTCTTGGTTCGCCTTTATTTTTCACTGTTGCTCAGGGCGTTTGATCCCATAGAGCAGGTGCCAGACACCTTTTTCTTTAGAAGGTCAGGTCTCAGCTATTTTAGGCTTTGAGAGCCACAGCCTTTCTGTCACAGCTACTCGCCTGTCGTCATAGCACAAAAGCCACCACAGGCACTATGGAAATAAATGTGCACAACTGTGTTCCAATAAAACTTTATTTACAAAGACGGGGCCAGACTCCAGTTTACAGCTCCTGCCTTAGGAAAGTTTGCATTTCTAATGTGTTCCATCTTTTCCTTTATGTAAATATGGAATTTTATGCTCAACAGAGGACGTTCCCACTCCAAGATTAAATGGGGTAGGGGGAGCTAGAATAAGAAAAAAATACTCAAAAGTAGTGTGAGCCAAATGCCCCACGAGTGATTAATTCCGCCAGTTGGTTCTAGACAGAGCATCCTGGACGTGCCGACACGGCCCTGCACCTTGGCCCGTCCCAAGTCCCCTGTAGGGAGAGGCACAGGACTGGGTCAAGGCCAGTGGCATCGGGACCCCGAGCGCGGTGGCCCAGATTGGAGGATGGCACTCCAGAGGGGTTTCCTCTGCCCCGTGCCCTCCTCTCTGACCTTTGCTCTCACCACTGACCTTGAAAAGTGTGTTCTCAGGGGACACTTGAGAGACCTGTCCAGTCAACTAGCTAGTCCTAGGCAGCCCCAATGGGACCCCAAGTGAGAACCCCCCCAACCTTCCACAGAAGCAGCCAGTCCCCTTTGCCTGCTCTCCTCCCCCCAGATCTGGACCCTTCTATAGACCGGGTTGTCAGCCTGATGTTAAAGGATCGCATGTGAATTTTATACCAAGCCAGAGGATCTTGAAGGTGTTTTTTACACCTAGTGCTGCACGCAGGATACAGCTTGCCTGTCAAAAATTTTAATTAAAAACTCATAAACCTTACCTGGTGTTGCAAAGGGCAAACGGGGAGATGTATTTACTTCCCCGGATTTGCGGGGTCCAGTGGCTTTTCTCCTCCTTCCCTCTCTGCTTATCTCCCACCCCCTTGGCTTGCTTAGCCTCAGGGCCCCCTGCAGACCCGAGGCTTGGGGTTGAGTCTCCGAGGACACTCACAGGCAGATCCTTCACCTTTCTGCACCTCAGTGGGCAGTCCTTAAGAATTAAGTGATCATGTGGAACTCTTGAGGTCTGTGGCCAAGGGGAAGGGAGATTATCTAAGGTCATGTGTCACTCCTAGCGTCAGTCCCAGAGCCTGACAATCTGGATTCAGGCACTGACTCTGCCACCTGCTGGCCGCGTGACCTTGGACCAGTCACTTCCCCTCTCTGTGCTTGCCTCATGTGCAGTGCCTCTAGGCCCCTAATGCTAGGCGGTTTGGAAGATGAAATGGCTCAATCCACATCAGGTGTTTGTAACCGTGCACGTGGGAGTAGTTAGTAAGTGGCAGGTGTTGTGTGTGATGTTCTGGGCACATAATAGCTGATCACTCAAGACAGTCGCTCTTCTGTGGTATCAGCACCATCTTCATCTTCGCTGCCTCCGCAGGGATTTCAGGTCCCCTGCCTATCTACCTCCTCATACGCCTGGATAACCTTGGTTCTCTGTCCTTAGCAGGCTTTGGCTTGATGAGAATTTCCAAACTGTGTTTGCTGATCTTTTAAAACCCCTGAGATGAGTATTTACTGCCAAAATGGGCAAGTATATCAGAAGGATTTAATTCGGGCTCGGGATAATAATGCTGGAGACCGAAGGAGGGAGAATGGCAAGGGTTTCCTTCCTTTGCCCTCTATCTGCTGTGGCCACGAGCACCTCTGTTGATCACTTAAAATCCTATTTGAAAAGGTCACTGGTTATTATAGAAGAATTGCACAGCATAAGGACTCAGGAAGAAAGAACCGGAGGCTGGCCTCCTCAGACTCCTCCTCCACCCCTAGTCTTCCCTCATGAGGGATTTCACCCTGCATCCCCAAGTTGCTCCCAGCCATGGTGGCCGCCCCTGGGCAGAGGAGGATCCCCCCTCCCGGGTCCAGGCATGCGACGCTATCAGTGGTGATGAGACCAGGCACCTGTGCCCCGTGTGCTGAGTCCGTGAGCTGCCTTCACTCCACTCCGTCACGGTTACTGGTGTGCCCATTTTCCAGAGGAGGAGACTGGGGCTCCTGACGCTCTCAGTACTGGTTTCAGGTTGCCTGGCAAGCAAGTGGCAAAAGGTACATCTAGCTGCCTTCTGAGAGCCTCGGGCCCCTCCCAGAGTCCACCCTCTGCCTCAGCTCGTCTCCGATGACTTCCAGCCGGTCTTCCCCACGCCTCCTGCAGCCGGGTCTCATTTGATGTGGGATGAAACGAAGGACGATGAAATATTTATCGGCCTCGTGTCTGATGGGCGCCTTCCCAGGAAAGCCCAGAGAAGCAGTTTGGAACGTGGAGCTGGTGCTCAAAATTGCTCAAAAGGCTACTAACTGGTTTATTCACAAGGTTTAATCTCTGGTATTGAAAATGCGACGTGAGAGGTGGTCTTGGCCTGGGAGCTCCGGTGGGAACAGGTGGGTCTCCTGGTTTCCCAAGGATGGAGCCAACCCAGAGGAAGTGACTGGAAAAGGGAATCTAGAGGAGTCACCTTTGCCCATTTGTTGGCTGACAGGTCCCTGCGCTTCCGGGCTGATGTCCTGTTTCGCTGTCTGACCTTGTCTTGTAAAATCACCCCTTCCGCTGGGCACGCTCACACTGCACTGGCCCCCGCGCTGAGGACGGCCAGCTTGTTTCTGCCTCTCCCCTCTGCCTGAACTCTGCTTCCCTCACCCATGCCTTTGCACGGCCGACTCATTCAGAGGCTCGGCTGAGCGTTCACTTCAGTGTCACCTCCCTGTTGTCCACGGTCTCGCTGTCTGCTTTTGTTTTCTGTAGAAGTGTTCGCCATGCTCTACTGTTTGATTTGATGCATGAGCCTCAAGAGGAGAGGGGCTTTGCCTTGTTCATCGTTGTATCACCCGTATCCAAAACAGGGCCTGGCACGTTCTGGGCCCCAAGGAGTCCTTGCTAAATGACCGATGGCTCCTGGTTGCTCATTATATAAAGCCCAGGGCTTGGACCAGGTGGTTGCAGAACAGATCCTTGCTCTTGACAAGTTCTATGCACTTGAGAGCATTTCACTCCTGAGGCTTCCTCTTACTGGCAGTCACTGCTCGGACCAGCCTCATGCAGGGATCTCAGTTCTCTGCTAGCAGAGCCTGAGGCAAGCATTCGGTGTGCGTAGATTACTAAGGAGGTGCTCCAGGAGAAGGGGGCGTGAGGGAGACAGGGGAGGGCAGGGAGAGGAGAGAAGCCGAGCAGGGACGTGCCTCCAGCTGTAGTCAACCCTCAGCTGACTCCATGGGAACCCTGAGCACAAAGCGTGCCCACGACAAGTTTGGCTCCAACACGGAGGCAAAGGATGCCAGCACCTCAGTGTAATCCCAGGCACCTCAGTCATTCCGGGGGCTGCCCAGGGTGAAGGGAGCCAGGCTGTGGGCTCCTCCCAGGCAAGGCAGCTCCTGTCTAGCCGAGACAGTCCTCTGGAGCCAACAGCCACAGCAGCTAAGGGGGAATGGCCATTCAGGCTGGGTGCCAACAGCATCTCTGCTCTACAGGGATCCGGAGCCTTCCAAGTAGCCTGACCCCAGCTAAGCAAATGAAAACCCGAAACCTGCCTTTCCAGGTGAAGGGAGTCCGGAGGTCACTGGGAGTAATCTGCTACCTAAGGAAAGCCCAGCAGCTCTTGGTTACCATCGCCTGCCCCTTGGCACCACTCAGGTTTCCTGCTCGTCCTCCAGGCCAGCCTTTCTCTCCAGAGAGGAAAAAAGGAATGGAGTTTCTTTCCTTAGTGTCCCTACTGTGTGTCAGAAACTGTTGTGGGAGCTTTGCACATGGTACCTCACCTAACCCTCTCAGTCACCCTGTGGGGTGGGTCTTACGATGCTGGGTGTCTGCAAGGCATAAGCCCTGGCTCTCGAGGGACATGCCTTGCCCAGGGCCTCATGGCTCAGAGGTGGTAGTAGGAGAATCTCGCCCATGTCCTCTGCACCAAAGCCTGTGATCTGCTTCTTCTCTCCACACTGCCTTGGTGAGCTTGGGTAGGGCGAGAAGAGGCATCCCTCTGCCCACAATCTTTGAAGGCTCCCACTTGCCTTTGGGGTAAGGCCAAACCTCTGGGCCTGGCTTCCTACGCCCCTCTGGGTTTTGCCACCTTCCTTCCTGTTCCATTGTATCCCTCATGTTGCCCGCCACCAACCTCCCTGTGGTGTGAAGGGGCAACGGGCATTTGTTCAATGCCTAAAAATGTTAGCTCTTGTTTGGGGAGCCCTCCCCATAGGCCCAGGCTAGGTATACTTTGTAGGAGTTATTCTGTGGAATCCTCCCAAGAACCCACGAGATCAGCCCTATTTTTCTGGTCTTAGAGATGAGGGAGAGGAACTCAAAGAGGTGACGTAGCTTGCTCACATTCTCGTGGCCAGCAAGTGGTAGGAGGAAGGATTGAGCCCCGCACCCTGAGCTCTTATCTGCTAGACCAGGGTTCACCAAGAGAACTTTCCCAGGCATGGGAATGATCCAGAGCCGTACTGTTTAGTCCAGTAGCCACCAACCACCTAAAGCCAGGACGTGCTAGAAATTTGGTTAATACAACTGAGGAACTATATTTTACGTTATATTTAATTTTAATTAAAAGTCGCCACATGTGGCCAGTGGCCATGCAGAACTGTGAAAATCTTGAGTTGTGACTCTGCTTGCTGGCTAAGACAT